CCCACTTTATTAAAAGGTGGCAACGCATCTGCATACGGTGTTGCAAATGTCCATGGGTGGCGGTTATCACTTAACATCAGGTGAACCGCCAGCTCATTTGCCACTTTGTCACATAAAAAAAATAAAAAAAACTGTCACAGGAAGGGCTGAAGTGATAGACCTCCAGATACCAATGTCAACCCTGACATTACATTAACATTACATTATTGTATACACAATTAAATTTAAAGGCGAATATCGCTTTAGATATTTCACTACATTTTTCCATAGTGTCTGTATATTTTTAATGAAAATATTTATTTACATTTTTTATAAAATAGATGCGGCTCCGTAATTTGGAATTATTTCTTTGAGTTATTTTCAACTTAAGTAATTCCAGTATAAATTACATGCGTGATATTCAAATGACGAATACAACTAGCAAAAAGATAACTTTGAGACATTTACGACATTTACCATAGTCTACGTTGGGTTTTATGGTAATTATCTTTATCGTGAGTCTACCCCTTGCTGTCCGACAATAACCCTGGTTACCCTAATTTTATCTCGACGTAACTATTAAAACTTAACGTCTGCTGAACTGAAGAAGAGCTGTTGACAACATTTCATAAACGCCTTTGTCTCCTCAGGAAACAAAGATGGCAGTATATAATTTCATTGTATAAAATTGACGACAATACTTCGTAGAAGAGTTTGGAAGGAGGCCAATGTCCATTATACTTCCGTACGCGATGATAATGACATTTTTCTTATATTGTAAAGCAGAAAATTTTCCGTGTTCCATCGAAAAGGGGAAAAGGGTCTTTACTTTTTATCATTTTTATAACATGCTCACAAGTATATACACATTTACATGACGAAGTTATTTAAAATGTGCGAATGATTTAAAAAAGTCACCATCTCACCATCAAAGTTATTACTTCACGAAACTGGCTAAACGTTATCAAAGTTCCATTATAAGATCGTAATATTTATGTAACAGGGACTTGTTTACCATTCAGATGAAATGGTTCCACCGACCCGGCCCAAATGTTAGGGAAAAGTTTTTTTTTTCCATTCAAAACTTTGAGAACTTGCCAAGAGCTCTGGACAGATCGTCAATAAAATAACCCTATGGCGACAGTTGACTGATGAAATTAAGTCCAACCTGGTTACGTCTATGAAGAAAGGATAAAATCAGGATGTAAACGAATCAAAAGTATGAAAGAAAAATTTACCCTGTCAACAGATCTTATTACTGTATGTATGCACATCTTATTACATCTCCACTGTATGTACATCTTGTTATAATATGCACTGCTTTTTTACTTGTATGGGGTCCACGCATCTGATTAACGTGTAAAGTTAATAAATCATCAATTTAAAAGACTTGAACCAATAGAAATGTGGCTTATCTGTAAAAGAAGTTATATAAATAAATAAAGCTATACGCAGGCACCCTCATGAATTTTATCTTCACCGCCAAGCATTTGGTATACATAAACTTAATTACGATTAGAAATTTCATTGTTGAATATCCTGAACAAAATAAGCATCCGGACATTCAAGTACATGACCTTCATAATAAAACAAGAACTTAATAATTTACAAAACAAAACAAATAACTAAAATGTAAACAGGCAAGAACACTTTCATAATTTACAATAAACTTAGTCCCACTAGGTAAAACTTTGCTGTTGACGTTTAAGATTTAATAGCGTTTTAAGACCAAGCAGAAACTTTAGCCGTGTAAATTTTTTACACATTTACACAGTAAACTCCACCAAAATATACATATACTCGATCCGCGCAAACAACCAACCCAAAAGGGGATATTAAAAGGACATAAATAAGTTGTAACCTTTTCTGGAGATGTTTACCGATAAATTATCAATAACAAACAAGTCCCCCAATTCCTGTCTAAGTAATACGACTTGGGAGTCGGGTTACGATGGCAACTTGAGCCTATCAACCATCTTTTCACAATTTCCACGCCATTTAACAAGCCACATTCGCCTTATACATGTTCAAACATTACTTAAGATAATACACATCCGCCTAGTTACAGAGTAGTATACCTAAAAATACCCTAAGAAAATATACTTAAGGAAGGCTAACTGCTACTGCCTAAAGCTATTCAAGTAAAACAAAGTTTCTATTCATTAAATTGATTCGGTTTTCTGAGTTTTCTTTGGCACTTTTATTTACGATATTTATGAACTTCTTCTCCTTAGGATCTTGTTTTATTTTTCTTTAAAATACAATAAACATCAACTGGAAGAGGTTTTTTAACATAATAAAAATATGTATCATTTACATCAGATATTAGGGTTCCGTACCCAAAGGGTAAAACGAGACCCTATTACTAAGACTTCACCGTCTGTCTGTCTGTTGGTTCGTCAGTCACCAGGCTGTATCTCATGAACCGTGATAGTTACCGTTTCATGAGATACAGCCTGGTGACAGACGGATAAAATATTTAGGTGGGACTTCCATACATCCGACATGATTTTGCAGTTTTAATAGATAATAGTACGGAACCCATCGTGCGAGACTCCGACTCGCACTTGGCTGGTTTTTTTATTTTACTTAAATGTATCTTGTAATGAAACTAAAAATATTAACAAATTTATAATACACTTGTCATGAATAAAGAATCATTACTGATAATTCTAAATTAATAAAAAAATAAATCTAAGTTTATATATCTAATTCTAAGTTTATGTTTTCATAGGCATGTTTGTCTTGAATGAAAGCATTTGAATGAATGCGTTAACCTAGAAAATTAGGCGCAAAACAAGTCAGTCTGTCCTATGACCATGGATAATTGAAAAGACTTTTCGACCGTTGGAAGTTTTATCACAAAACAAAAACGCGAATTAAACGCGATATAATGGTAAAATAATATTTATGTACAGTGTGAAAAGTTGTTTCATGTATTAAATTTTACTTATTAAATCTTTGTAGTATTACTTTTTACCTTATTACAGTTTTTCTATGTTTTTAGACGGATAATTATCATGAGAAATAAGGTTAATTATGGCGTTTTCTAGGATTGTCGTCAATTCAAGAAATAATTATGGCATATTTACACAAAATCATCTTTTAATATTTGAACAATGCTTATCATATATCTCCGTACAAATTCTTTTTTTTTTTTTTTTTACCCGTGTAGTTAAATTTGAAGAATTGACTAAATTTTTCTTCAATTTTAACTATAGTCATTAATTTTTTTACGGTCATTTTTAAAATAAATTCATTCAGCATGTACAACGTCCACCAATCCTCTTTTGGAGTTCTCAAAATTTATTAAAACTTTATACAGTTTAAGTGTGCATATTTTAGCAATTTCTTTGTCAATTTTCTACAACGTAATATATATACGTAGTATGGATGAAAATGCCACGCAGGTGCCACATAATTTATCCATACGAAATTATTCATGAGATCCTTTGTCTACAATTCATTTTGGTACAATGTTATCTTGGCTTTAAATTCTTAAGAACGAATCGATGTCGCGTCATAACTCACGATATTTCTGATGTATAAATATGAATTCGACGATTTAGTGCATAAAAGCAATGATATAAAAGATTTATACGGTTCGCCAGACGCGGTCGCTTAGGAATGATTCGATCTGAACGGCAAAGCGTCACAAGACGTTATTGGGTTACGACTCGTAGATATGTCAAATCACTGTCGATTGAGACTCTTTATTTCCAATGCTATCTATTATATCCAACTCCCCGAGCGGTAGGCGGCATATTCAGTAGTGACATGGGCTGACAAAGATATTTACATGAAATCGATCTCCAAACTGACGAAGTACGGTGAACAATGACGTTGTAACACTTTCGTAACGTCTCTTTAGTAATCAATGTTTAATATATAATGCATAATCTAAAATATTTATTTTATTTTAAACTAAGAACCCTCCCCGGCTTCGCACGGGTGCAATGTATTATACATATGAACCTTCCTCTTGACTCACTCTATCTAGTAAAAAATCCGCATCAAGATCCGTCGTGTAGTCTTAAAGATCTAAGCATAGACAGACAGCGGGACGAATTGTTTTATACTATGTAGTGATAGTATGTTTTATTATAGATTTTAAGTAGCAAGAAGCTTTAATAATTTTTTATATACAACTTGTAACCGTGTAAACTCCGAACGGTAGTAGTGTTTTTTGACAATCAATGTGTAATGCTTCTATATTGAATTGAAATATTTAAGCCGAGCACATTGTAAAATAAGTTTAAAAATCATAGGGACAGACAGACAGCGGGACGACTTTGTTTTATACTATGTAGTGATGCACAGCAAAGAGACGTTTACATTTCAAGTGATATTTTACCACAGTCACTCATTTGTTTTTCCTTCCCGGAACCCCTCCACTAACACTTGAAGTTTACGTACCATATGGTATTAAAGTTCAAATTGACGCTTAAGTATTATTACGAATCTTTTATACGGGAATATAGAACAGTATTGTTTTTAGACATTTTCAGACAATTTTTTTATTTTTTTCTTTCATAAGAACCTTTTCCTGATAATAAAAAACACAACAAAAAAAAGTGAAATCGGTCCAGTCGTTCACGCGTGATGGCGTGACCAAGGGAAGTAGGGATTCATTTTTATATATATAGATAGATTTTAACATACTTTATGAAAATCTTCATCTATATCTAATAGGATACCTCGTTAAACCATAAGCTTTTTCATTTACCAACATCTTGGTGCGGCCGAGGTATTCGTTTGTATTAACTCTTTCGAACCAACCATAAGAAGTTAGTAGACAAAACGCGACTCCAAAAAGTGGACGGTGACCCTTCAGATTTAAAAAAAACACTTACGGCTCTACCATACAACCTCGTTTCGTTTTTGAAAAAAGAATTGAAAAACAAAAAAAGAACGAGAAGCAACCGAGGATCGGTGTCAAAACGCGCCGCGATGTGCGGGAGATGAGCGGCTGTCGGTTTGCGCGCAGTGATGCGTGCGGCGCATGATGCGCGCCCGGCTTGATGGAAGAGTCATGGTCGTCGGGCGGGGCGCCGCTGCTGCGCACCAGGTCGCTGCCGCTGGTGCTGGAGGCGGCGAGCGGTGCGCCCGCGCGCCAACCCAAGCTCGACCCGCGGCAGCTGCTCACGCTGACGCGCCACTACTACCCCGAGGGCGGCTGGGGCTGGGGCGTCGCGGCGGCGGCCACGCTCGTCCAGCTCCTAGCGCACGGGCTGCACCAAGCCGCCGCCGTGCTCGCCGTGGAGGCGGTGCACCGCTTCGGGCCCGAGGTCCGAATGCAAGCAGGTAACGCTGCCATTGTCACTGTGCTAGTGCCAAAGCCTCCACAGTCGTCCTCCTGACGTCCGTCTCACAGAAAACACATTGGAAGTATTTGTATGTGTTGTACCGCCGCCTCGCAGAAGAAATTGGAAGTATTTGTACGTGCATTTCGTCCGGCAAATGAGATACGGATCGTAAAATTCTGTATCAACAAACTATTTTATGACGCATCTACGTGGTCACGTCATTTTGACAAACTCATTTCTAAACGAAGACACAACGTCATGTTTTATATCGAATGTATCGAAGTAGATATTGCATTAAATTTAAACATATCTTCAACTACACAATAGTAAAATATTGTGTGAATTCGTTCGAACTTCTATTAGTAAATGGTATTTAGAATTTTGATTAAAAATATTCAAGTACCTCTTACATCTGTTAATTTATTTCTGTAGAAAATATAGCCCGATATCGCAGAACTTGTTGGGAGTGAAATAAACTTCGGGTTTATCTATATTTGTTCAGCAATAATTTACATTCTTCTAGTGAGTCGTCGATTTGGACGAAATCCAATCGCATATACGGAGCTTATGTATAGAAACAATAAGTAACATTATGCGTCTGGTGTCATGCCTGTGGGGCGCACTGACACTTTACAGACGAGTTGATCTTCACCGTCGTCTCAAACTTCTAATGTTCTCTGAAAATTGCGGCTCTAAATATCTATTAATATAACAGTACTGTTATAGCCAAAACAAATCTTAAATAAACCTCTCGTACATTTTCCAATATCTTTAAACAGCACGAAACACTTTAATCTATAGACTTTAATCATTTACCCACGTTCAAATATTTCCCCTGCATGTAAATAAACTCGGGGAAAGCGAGTGAATCACGAAAACTTTCAAACTTCTTCAATATGCAGGATCATTTTACGTGAAGAAAAATTGAGATATATCACGGGCATCCGTTATATTGTTGTACGCTATGCATCTAGTTTCTTCAGAGCAGTTGACAATGAATGATGTGAATACAGAAAGGTCCCTTCGTTAAGTTAATAATTCGTCACGTCGATCCGTTTTATTTTGTATTATTTTTAATTCCGTACAAATATTATTCTTACTTTGTGCAGTCATAAAATCGCACAGATCAAATTTCAAAACAAACATCGAGAAGTAAAATAAATATAAAGATAACTCGTAAGAGATTTTACTGTTTACTTACTTCTTACTCGTTCGATTTGCATGGATGTAATAAATTAACAATAAAGAGACCTTACACGAAACATTGAACAAAACAGGTAAAGCTCTGAATTGTTTCTTGTATGAGGAGTATTTTATTGACATATAATACATGCTAAGGAGATCGGTAACAGACGCTTATTTTTAAAACTTTCTAAAGCATACGTGGGAGTATTTTTTTCTGTTTAGTGATTCTCTATGAAAAATCAGCTTACTAAAATATAATTACATTTTCTGACTAGGTTTATGGGCCCGTTACATTATAAGAAAATTAATATACATATATTCGTGTTATACCTGGATATGTGGTAGAAGAACTAGCTGGTTCAATATCGGTAACAGACGCTTATTTTTAAAACTTTCTAAAGCATACGTGGGAGTATTTTTTTCTGTTTAGTGATTCTCTATGAAAAATCAGCTTACTAAAATATAATTACATTTTCTGACTAGGTTTATGGGCCCGTTACATTATAAGAAAATTAATATACATATATTCGTGTTATACCTGGATATGTGGTAGAAGAAGTAGCTGGTTGGACTGAAGTAACGCTTAAAAGACTTTTTTTAGATTGGCTTCGAAAAACAAATACATCGTGTAAAATATTATCTCTAATCAGTCAAGTCGTTCGAAAGTTTTGCGGTCTCTAGCAGACAAGCAAACACACTTACGGACCATTGTATTTCTGTATATGATGTCAAGCTATCGCGTCCGTTTACGAAGCTTTTTTGGATACTAAATTTATTTTTCTCTTTGAATACAAACGACATAACACGTAGTGTCTTTGCGAATTCCTGTCTTTACTCAAAGTTACAATTAAAACAATTCAATATCAATATTCGTCGATCACTCGAAGAATATATCATATGGTCTTAAGTGAAAAAGAGGTTGGTATGGTTTTTCTTTATTCTTTTTTTTTAAACATGCCCTAATTTTAGGATAACATTATCTGTGTAGTAAGTACGCTTTACAAACATAAATTTCACACGGACAAACACCCAGATTCGGAACAATTATCTGGTCACACAAATAGTGGTCCCGTGTGGGAATCGAACCCACGACCCTCGACGCCGAAGCCAATACCTTGGCAACTACGCCCCGGAGTCATCATATTTGGGAAACAAGATAGGTTAAAATTTGAAACATGTACGTTCGTTATCTACTATGATGCTTAGATTTTTACCGTTATATAATAACATTTATAGACGCACTTAGGGACATGGAACAGCATTCGCTGTTTCACCGTCTGTTCAAGATCCACAACCTCCCTTTATTTATAGATTGACGACCCGAATGGCGCAGTGGGCAGTGGCAGCGTCAGAGGGTGTGGGTTCGATCCCCACTATTGTAATAATAATTTTCTTGTGTCTGCGTATTTATGTGCATAATATGTATTCATTTACAAAAGAAAAAGTATGTTTAATTATATTTATCAGTTATCTAGTACCCATAGTACAAGCGTTGCTTAGTTTGGGACTAGAAAATGATTCTGCAACCCTACGGGTGTTGCGAATGTCCATAGGCGGCAATTAACATCAGGTGACCCGCCAGCTGGCTTGTCAACTTATCACATGAAAAAAAACCTACGGTCCAATATATCGCTTGAAACGTGTACACTGAATAAATTCATTATTCATATTTTATAACGTAGTAAAAATACAAAACCGATATTGATCTGAAATTGATCTGTCTTGAAAAGATTTTTAAACTTATTTTTTAATGTGCTCTGCTTAAATATTTCTATTCAATATAGAAGCATTACACATTGATTGTCAAAAAACACTACTACCGTTCGGAGTTTACACGTTTACAACTTGTATATAAAAAAATATTAAAGCTTCTTGCTACTTAAAATCTATAATAAAACATACTATCACTACATAGTATAAAACAAAGTCGTCCCGCTGTCTGTCTATGCTTAGAGCTTTAAAACTACGCAACGGATTTTGATGCGGTTTTTTTTTACTAGATAGAGTGATTCAAGAGGAAGATTTATATGTACCTATAATACATTCCACCCGTGCGAAGCCGGTCGCTAGTAATTTATAAAATCTAAGCTAAATGTTAGATTTTATAAATTATAGTATAGAAATTAAATTATTTAATGTATACTATTAACTAGTCAGTTAATAGTACTATTAAGTAACTTTTTATTGTCTACTATTACTTTTAAGACACATGAGGAAAAATAAACAATATTGATTGATTTAATATTGAACTCCGTGGTGCGGTTGTCAAGATATTGGCTTCGTCATTAATCAACAATTTCATTTCTATCGGGACTGGGTATCGAATTCAGGTTGCTCGAGTATATTGAATTAAACGCAAGCGCCCGGACACTGAGCTATCACGGCTCAAAAATTTCTTATTAATTAGTAATATATTCACAAATAAAAATTAGAATTACTACGACTACAATAAAATTCATATTTTGATAATATTATAATGTATCGATCCACGCCCTCATACCCTCTCGACATTTAGGTTGTTATTTTAGTTTGCTTTGAATTTTCTAAACTAATTATATATACGAAAAATAATAGCCTTGATTTTATTAATAATAGATTATGCTTTTCTTTGTTTTTTACCATTCAGAGAAGTTTTAAAGACAGAGAACAATTAAAATACAATCACTTTATTTCATAGATAACAACCATCCCGAGAGACAAAAATCCTGAGGAGATGAAACAAAAATAAAAAAATATTCTATCATCGATGTCGTACATTTTGTTTTTAATTTATTAAATCTATATCACAGTTTCTGAGGATTACTAAATTTAAATCCATTAAATATTGTTTTTGCTTGTGATTCCATGTTTGATTTCAGTAAGGAGACATGTTTACATTGGCAACATTTAGAATACCCCGCTGACAGATTGATAAACAAACTGACAGGCTAACAGGCTTCGCAGACATTATATTTGAGAGCAGTTTTAATGAAAATGTTCTAATTTTCTTTTATAAATTCTATAACTTGATTTGAAGGAAAAGTAATCTTTAAAACAATACGCAATAATACATTTTAACATATCTGTTATTACCATTAAAAGCCAAAATAAATAAGCAAGTCAGTCTGCTCCGTGACCATGGATACTACGAATGTTATTATAAGTACACCGAAATTGAGGCACTCAAATTACTCCAATCGGTGTACTTAGATTGCAATTGTACAAACTGCTATATCTTTCTATATCATCAGTCACATTCTTATATATGTCATAAAATTTAAAGCGGAACAACTTTTAAACGCCACGCAATATAGAGACATGCGTCGTCTTTACTAAAACAACATTGGATAAAGTGTTTGAAACGATTGGAATAGGTCTCTCACGATTACGATTCCGGCGTGTTTCTGAGTAAAAAATATAAAGTAGACTCATGTTTTGACAGCGAGGTAGAGTCACGCAACAGATTCTGCTGCACGATGAGGAAAAATTTACACGATCTTGCATTCTGTACTTCTTTGTTTCGTCTCGTAAGTAAGGTGATCAGAGCCACTTTAACCTTAGCAGCGCAATTCCAACTTCACAGGTTTTGCAGGTGACCATAGCCAGTGGTAATCACTTAAAATTTGATGAACAGCTCTCGAATCGAATCCAAAAAAGAGAAGTCGCGTTTTTGATTAATTACACATTTTGCCAATATTTAAATTTTGATCCAAGTGTCAAATAAATACTATCTTAATCCCTTTAATTGTTTTTTTACGGCAACAGTAGACATGTTGAAGGGCCTCTTAAGTCATTTCATTCTAAGTAACTACGAAACCATTTAAGGGGTAAGCC